GGGAGGAGGGGCCCGGACCTGTGTGCCCTGCACTCAGAAAAGGCAAAGGGAGCAGGTGATCCGGGCAGGCTGGGAGCCCCCACAGGGAAGCTCAGGTGCTCCCTGGGCCGGGGCGTTGCTCTGGTCCCTGGGCCAGGTGCCCAGGGCTGGACATCTTTGGCCTGGCTGAAGCCCAGGGGAGGGTGCCCAGCCATAACTTCGGCTGGCACGAGCCAGTGTCGCTGTGCTGGACCACTCCCATCAGCGCCAGAGTGGACCTGGCCCTGCAGCTGAATCATTGAAAAGGCACCTTGGGGCCAAAGCGCTGGCAGGGGCTCCTCCCTGCTCCAGTCTGCTACGCTACAGCCTGGGGGGCTCTCAGGGGCTTCCTGGGCCCTGCCCAGCTGTGGGGGCCTCCGGGAAGACAGAGACCTGCCTGGCCAGGCTGGGGGCCACCGGCCTTCTGGGCTGGGCAGTGGGGGTGGGGGGCTCTGCCCCCGTGGGCAGGCGGGAGCTGCCAGGCCGTGGCGGTGCCTACCTCTCCTCTCCAGGAAGATGACCTCGGTGGGGGGCCCCTTGCCGGCGGCATTGTAGGCTGCCAGGTAGACGCTGCGCACGCCAGCGGGCACAGAGAAGTTGCACCCCATCTCTGTTGTGTTGCAGACAGTGGTCGGCACTCTGCCCCTCTGCTGCGGGCTCAGCGCCACCCAGTACCCCAGGATCCTGCCGTTCGCCTCCTGCCATGCCAGGGCCTGGGGGCAGACAGGGGCTGCATTCAGAGGTGTGGGGTGAGGGGTCCTTGGACCACAGCCCCATGGCCATGGCCACCCTGGCCTTACCTTCCACAGCAGCTGCACCTCGGCTCGCTGCCGGGAGCCTGAAGGTGTCACCTGCCACCAGGCGTCCAGTTTCCCTGCAGGGGCTGGGGGAAGAGGAGAGGAGGGGGGCTTTTGGCTCAGGTCTCCTGCCCTGCCCCAACACCCCCGCCTCACTCCTACCCTCAGCCTGGCTCTGGCCCTGGCCTCTCTGCCCACCTGGGGCCATGGCAGCACTCACCTTTCTCGTGGGTGGTGAAGCCCTGCTCTGTGCTCCACTCGCTCCAGTAGCTGGGGAACGTCTTGCGCCGGCAGCGCATCTGCAGGCGGTACGGCATCCCGAAGAGCAGGCCGCAGTGCTGCACCTTCTGGTTGGAGCTGATGATGCCGGAGACCTGGCACCATCACAGCCAAGGCACTGTCACCTCCCTGCAGGGCCACGGGTGCCCTTCCCTTGCACGCCAACCCCCCTGGCCCTATCCTGAGCAGCCTCTGGTGCTGGGGGGCTTCGCACCCTTGGGAGAGGGCCACGGACACAGCGGACCAAGCCCTGGAAGCCCAGCAGACATGGAGATCTTGCCCTATGCCGGCGAGCTGTCCCCAGTGTCCTGTCCACAAAGGGACCTGGGATGCAATGACCGGGGATGGCACTGGGCTGCAGAGCCCGTGCACAGACTAGTGCGGCAGGCCCCCAGTGAGGGCACTGGCTGTGACACCCCGGTCTCCCTTCCCTTCCCTGCCCTGCCCTAACGGCCCATCTGAGCCATACGTGGGCTCCCTGCTTCCTCGATGGGGAGCCTGGAGCGCAGAGAGCAGCTCTACGGTGTCAGCGGACACAGAGCAGGAATCTCGACCCTGAGACCAGCCCCCAGAGGCAGGAGGGCCGTGGATCCTCCTTCCCCACAACACAGCCGGCCCCGCTTGCCTGCACAGAGCCCTCACCAGTGTCCAGGCAAGCTCTTTGTCCCTCCGGTAGCGCAGCTCGCACTGCTGCTCGATGTAGGCGCTGCTGCGGGCCACGTCCCAGGCCACGGCCACACAGTTGGGCTGGAAGGGCTGCACGCTCATCAGGGTGGGGGCGTCCAGCTTGGCTGAGGGCAGGACGGCAGAAGCTGGCACCACTGCTGTCCCTCATGCCGAAGGACAGCCTCTCCTCCACCACTGTGGCTGGGCCCACCCACGTGAGCACACATGGCACAGGAGCTTCCTGGGCCCCAGGGTGCCAGCACTGCTGGTGGCCAGGCTGTTGGGACCAGCGCCGGCCCTGTGAACACGGGCATGGCCCAAGGCCAAGGACCGGTGGCTGGGGCAGGGCAGCCAGCAGATACCTGCTCTGCGCCTTGCCCTGCAGACGGCTGCATGCGTGCACTGTGGGCCAGTGGACAGAGGGTCCCTTGGCACAGGGGCCTGGGGCTGGGTCCTGGGCCGAGTGCTGGATTTTAGGGGTCTAGCTTCCAAAGGGCTCGCGCTGACCCTTGTCCCCTGCCCTGCGCTGTGCTCACCCACATCGGTGGGGTCGAGGCACAGGTGCTCGGACTCGGCCGTGCCCAGGGGGTTGCGCACCCACACCCAGAACTCCATGTCCTGGTAGAGCTGCAGGTGCTGGTGCGGCAGGGTGCAGTGGTTCTCCCCTGGCAGCAATGGGCGGCACTCCTGGATGGCCTTTGTGACCACTCTGCAGGTCCTGCCGGGCAACAGACAGGTCAGTGCATGCCAGCGAGGCCGTGGCTCCTCAGATGCTCTGGGTACCCCCACTAGCAACACGTGGCTCCTGCGCTTCCCTTTTCCCAGCGCCCATGCACCCAGGAGCCCAGCATGGCTGGGGCAGCACTCTCTGAGCAGTGCGCACCGGCAGAGCAATCAAGGGGGGCTCTGCAGGGAGTCCAGCAGGGCTGGCTTGGCCACAGACACCATGCAGATGCTGGCATCGGGGGCTGCACCCTGCAAGGTCTCGTGTGCATGTGGGAGCTCCAGCCCCCTCTGGGATGTGCCTGCCCCCTAGGAGCTCCCACGCTGCCCATGGCACTCCAGGGGCCAGGGCTGGGCTGGGCAACTCATGGGAACCCCTGGGCTGGCAGGGCCGACACCAAAATTCAGCAAACACCCAAATCCTTCCTTCCTGTTGCCCTGCCCCAGCCCTGGCCTGCTCTGCTGCCTCCCTGCCCCTGGGCCCACTGGCCTGGCCAGGACACCCGTGCCCCTGGCCCATGTCCGCAGTCGCTCACTTGCGGCTCTTCAGGATGGTCTCAGTCGGCAGGAGGCTCTCTGCTCCGGGATCCCAGCGACATGTCAGGGACATCTCACGGAGGTTCATCATGCACGTCAGGTTGTGGGGCTTCGAGGGTAGGTCTGCGGGCAGAGCGGGAGGACGGCGCTGTGGGCAGTGTGGGCACCTGTGGGTCTGGGCACCAGCGCTCTGCTAGGGCAGCTGGGCCCGTCCCGGCTCTGCCCCCTCCAGCCTGCTGTGCCACCCACTGCCTCTGCCCTTGCTCCAGGTTGGGGCAGTGGCCGCCTTTGCAGAGTGCACCCTGCCCCATCCAGGGGCCCAAGGCACCGCAGGACCCTGCGCTGTGACTCAGCTGGGCTGTGACGGGAGCTGGGTCTGGCTTCCCCTTTCCAGTGCCCGGGCAGCGAGAGGTCAGGGTCCCGCCCCACAGCAGACAGGCCTCCCAGGGCACCATCCTATCCTGAGCACATCTGCCCAAACCTGCTGCAGGGGGGTGCTGACAGTCCCTGCTCACCCGCCACTGGGGGCTCTGCTAAACCCTATGTGCAAGGTGCCCTGGGGCACAGACGGGGAAGGGCAGGGGGTGTTGGGGGCCAGTGCGATGGCAGGCACATGTAGACTCACGGCCCGCTTGGATGTCGGCTGTGGCGATGAGCTGGGGCGTCTCCGTCTTTGTCCCTGTCCCCATCCCCGCCAAGTAGCACCGCAGCTTAGCCCTGGTCCAGCTGACGTGGGCGATGGTGAGGATGGACTCGACCGTCCCATTTGCACTCCAGTACTGGGTCCCGGGCAGGGTCTTGTTGTCCAGCTTCCACATCAGCCGGATGCCCCCCTCCAAGCCTCCGCCAAGGCTCTGGGCTGTGCTTGTCCCCAAGGAGCTTGCATGCCACCCATGGCACAGGGCCTGCTGGACACGGCAGGAGGCTGTGACAGGGGATCCCAGGAGCACCGTGGGGGGCTCCACCCGCACCTCACCGCAGCCCTGTGCTCCTGTGAGGAGAGAATGAGCCTCTGAGTCTGGTCCCTGCTCAGGGGCAGCTCCTGGCCGGCCCTCTGCATTGCAGGCCAGGGCCCAGCATAGCCCGAAGCAGCCACCCGGCTCCAGGCTTCAGTCTTTCCAGTACGCACGGTGCCCCCAACCTGTCCTAGTCCATCTGCTCTCCAGAGAGGGGCCCTGGGCTGGTAAGCCCCCTGCAGTCCTGCATCTCGCTGGGACTTGGGGCACAACTCCCACCAGCCTGAGATGCAAGGCTCCTTTGTCTGCATCAGCCACAAACCCAGTGAGCTTTCCAGAAGCAGCCAGGGTAGAAGCCCAGGGTGGCTCTGGCTTCGCTCCGAATGGGGCTGTCTGCAGGGGAAGGGGCAAAAGGAGGCTCTGCCATCCAGGTCTTTGTTAGTGCAAGTGCAGGGGTCGCTGCAATAGCCGCAGCTGCAGCCCAGCCCGGGGCCCTGCATGGGCACGGGGGGGAGGACATGCTGTGGGCTCTGCTTCCCTGCAGGGCTGCATCTGCTCAGTGCAGACAGGGCGTCTGCCACAGGTCTGGGACATGCCGCCCCAATGCAGGAACCGCCAGCTTCTGCCTGGGCACATCACAGCGCACTGCTCCGGTGGGAGGCGCCCCACACGGGCTGGGCTGGGCTGGGCTGGCCTGCCATCAGGGCCTCTTGCCTGGGAGTGCAGGGAGGGAAAGTCAGGGCTTGGGGGATTCCCCATCCCGGGACCCTGGCATTGCTGTCAGACTCACCACCCAGGAGCAGCAGGACGAGCAGGGAGGATGGCAGCATCATTCCCCTGTCCCTGCGCTCGGCCACGATCTTGTCTGGGGCTTTGGCATCACCTGGGACACACACATGGAAGTGTCACTCTGCAGGCCAGAGCTGGGGTGTGTGTACATATGTGTGCATGTTTGTGTGTGCAGGTTAACCCTTGCGATACAGTCCCACATGCTACACGCTGGGCGCTTAATAAGTATCAGGCAAAATACACTGGCTTCCTCAGCTGTCAGATCCACCATGGTTGTCCGTGTCTCTCTATAGTGCATGCACACACACGTACACATACACACACACTTCCACAGGTCCATCAGACCCTCTGTGGCAGCAGCAAGTTCTGTCTGGTACGAGGAGGCACCGATCTGCAAACTCCCCGTGGGCTCGGGGCACTTGGCTAAAGCCGTGGAAGCCTCTCTGCTCTACTGGGGTGAGGGGCGGGAAGGGGCTGCCGTCACCTCTTGCTGCCCCATGCTTCATGCAGGTGCAGCATGCTGGACATTGCATGAACCCCCTGCTGCTCACAGAGAGAGGGACGGGAATGCCAGGCTCGAGGGCACGGGGCCTGCCACGTCCTCTCGGTGCTGGGGATGTGTTCGCCCACCGCACAGTTCTCCTCCGAGGGAGCCACTGACCCCTGCAGCTGGGGGAGCAAGGACCAGAGCTGCTGGCAATGTTCCTGGGGGGATCACAGGTCCCGGCTGTTCACACCAGGCTGATGCTGCCCTGGTGCCCAGAGAGGGACCACTCCTGCATGGTGCTGGTACCCAGCCAGTGCTAATCTCCAGCTTTGACTCTTCTGCGTTTCCCTGCCATCCTGCTCCCCGTGGCCCCTGCCCTGCCCTGCCCTGCCCTGCCCCATGGCTCCAGCGCTGACTCCCCTGCTGATTGCTGCTGGGATCGCAGCCCTGTCCTGCGCAGGAGGCGACGCTCCACCCAAGCACCTTGCCCGCGTCCAGAGGGCTCAGTGCCAGGCCGGCCGGTGCCAACAGCAGCGGGGCAGCCTCTGGGGCAGCCAGAGTCCAGGCAGGCCGGGCCCATCCCTTACCTCATCTCAGCGCCCGGTGCATGCAGCCCCGAGTGTGCTGCTCGCCCTCAGGACGGGCCCGGGCCCCCGGGAGATCAGAGTGTCCCGTCCAGGCTCCAGCATGTTGCTTTTGCCGTTAGTTCCTCAAACCCAGTGTCGTTAATTGCTCCGAAGCTCCGAAGAAAAGGTGATTGCAAAACACTTCCCTGAAGGCTGTGTGTGCCCCACGCGCTGGCAGGAAGGAAGGCGCAAAGGCAGCCCACACATCCAGCCCTGGGGAGCAGGCTCCGGTCTCCTCATCCTCCCTGGCCACCCGCCTTTTAAGCAGCTCAGCTCGGCCCGGTGGGGATGGAGCAATAATGAGCTTGTTTGCTGTGACCTTGCTGGAGCCTGTGGGGCTGGTCCAGCGCTGGCAGGAGGTGGAGGGGCTGGGGGCATGTTCTGAGAGCCCGGGCAGGGCCGGGACTGCTGGGAGGGGCTGAGCACACTGAGGTTTTCTGGGTGCTCTGCTCCCGCTACGAGGCACCCAAGTGGCCCATCGCTGTGGCAGTGTCTCAGAGGTTTCCTCTTCCACGCAGCTCAAGTCCCCCAGAGCCTGTCGCCTTTTGCCACGTGCGTTCCCCTGAGCTGCGAAGCCAAAGCACTAGCAGCAGCGAGGACCTTTGTGGTGTTCAGGGGCCGGAGCAGACAGGACAGTCAGGCTCAGTGCCTGTTAGCTGCAGTTGGACGTGGCCCTTGTAGCCCTGCACCCCAGAAGTTGGTTAAGCTGCTGCTCCAGCGCCCGGTGCTTGTGTGGGGTGCACCAAGGGAAGGTGCATGGGAATGGGGAGACCCTGCCAGCTCAATCCTACCCTATGTGGGGGCATCAGGCTCCCCCCAGTACCATGCACCCCACTTGCTCCATGCCAAAGGCCATGCACATGTAGGGGGCACAGTGGCAGGGTCTCCATCAATAGAAGGTGCCTTGGAGTGCCCAGCTGCCAAGATTTTGGCCTGGAGAGGACAGAGCTGCTCTGTGGACTCCATTGCCAGCTGGTTTCTGAGCCCACACAGTACTGTACCCCACCAGGGTGGACAGACACCCTCCACACCTGCTCTGGGGCTTTGCCAGGGGTCAGCTCCAGGTCCACACCCATGAGCGTGCCTGCTCCCCCTGCTCAGAGACCCACAGGACTGAAGCGTCACAGTCTCGTGCGGCTGCAAGACCGAGGCACCAGCGGCTGCGCAGTTGCTGCTGCTCCAAGGCAAACATGTTCAGAGCTGTTTCTGGGGCTTTGCTGCTTGTGGTGACCCTGCTTCCCTGCAATCCCGGGGCGTGGGGGCTGCCCCCATCTCTCGCTTACGGCCACAGAGACACCGGCAGAAGCAGAGCTGGGCCAGAGCCTCAGCACTTTGCATGAGGCTGTGCAAATGCCAGCGCCGGCGTGCAGACTGCTCTCGGGCCCTGGGCTGAGCTTGTCCCTGGCCGGGTCGGGGCAGGCTGTGGCTGTGGTTCTGGTTCCCACTGGCTGCTCGTGGCGCCAGGCTGGAGCGTGGCTGCTGCAGGCGCTGGGTTGTTTTGCTGTTGCTGGAGCAGCCGCCCAGGCATGCCTCGGCTTCCCGCCTCAGCCCCGATGTTGCCGAGCAGCCCAGGGAGACTCCCAGCCAGGAGGCAAGTTCAGGGAGGTGGGGAGTGCTCTCTGGATCCTGGGCTGACCCTGCCTGACGGGAGGTCAGTGGCCTGCCTGGGCCCGCCACTCTGCGCCCAGCCCCCCGGCCGCCCTGCCTGCAGGCCCAAGTCGTGGGATGCACCAGGATGGGCCTTGGAGCCGTTGTGTCAACAGCAGCTTGCCCAACCCAGAGCCCAGCGGCCTGCGCAATGGCAGCATCCATTGTGCAAACTGCTGTTTACGGCATGTTTACTCGCGTGTTTACTCACTCTGCTGCACAGCACGTGACTCACAGTTTAGCTGACCCTCTGGCCCGCTGACGGCCCCAGGCCTGCCCCTGCCCCGGGGCCTGCAGGCTGCCCCATGCCGTGTCCTGCAGAGCCCTAGCCCTTGTCTCACGGTGGAGCCGCCTGCCTCGCTGAGCTGTGCCCGCTCTGTTTGCCTGGTGTGTGCAGCTCAGTGCCTGCAGCCCCAGCATGGGAATGGGCCCAGTCGGGGTGCAGGCACATACTTAACGGGAGCAGAGTAAGCAGACATGCACTGGCCATTCAACAGAGTGACTTTACATCCCCTGGTGTCTCCCAGGGTCCCAGCCCTGGCGCAGGCACCTGGCAGGACCTGGCTGGGGAGCATCTGAACCCCTGGCGCGGCCCCGGGGCCAAGGCTGGTGGAGCTCTGCTGCGCTGCCATCAGGAAGGATCCCACTGGGTTTCCCCATGGGGCCCGTAGCTACCAGTCGGCCCATGGGATCTGACCCACATCCTGGCGGCAGTGACCACAATGAGCCCTGGCAGCTGTTTGCATGTGGCACCTTCCACCCTCTCGCCTCTCCCATCGCAGGCTCAGCTTGGCCTTGCTCAGCCCCGAGTTCTTCCCCAGGAGAAGCAGCAGTCTCAGTACCTGGCAAGGGCTGGCCCCCTTCCCATGGCCCCGGTGGGCGAGCTCCCGTGGGCCTGGTGTGACTGGGGGAGCACGCTGCCATCTCATCAGAGCAGCAGAGGTGCAGGGGCAGGAGCCCGAGGGAACAGCTCAGTGGCCACAGGCTGACGTGCAGCCGCATCTGCTGCAATGCCACACGCTGCTCTGACCCAGGCCAATGTTAGCACTGGCAGTGGTTATGCCCAGGCTGGGGCAAGGGCAAGGGCAGGGGCAGGGGCAGCAGCCTGGTCTCCCTGGCTCCTACCTGCAGTGAGTTGCAGGTCACTCCTGGAGCCCGGGGCTGGTGCAGTAGCTGTGCCTTTATCACCTGTGGGCACTGGGAATGGGGCGGGTGGTAGAGAGAGCCCCTTCCAGGCTGTGCTCCGGCACGCGCAGCTGAGGGCATACAGGATCTGGGCAGAAGTATGTGCCCTGTGCAGGGTGCTGGCGCAGAGAACTGGCACCACTTTGGCCCCTGGTGCACCCATGGGTCCAGTCCCTGGAGGGCTGAGTGGGTGGCCGAGGGCATGCCAAGAGGAAGGCAGGCACAGCGGCCGCTGGGCGAAGCAGGCAGCGCTCTGGGGACAGTGGCAGCCAAGCGACACTGCTTTCTCACCCATCTCCAGCTGGGAGCACAGCTTATTGCCCTGGCCTGAGGATCCCTGGGCCCGAGCCAGCCAGGTCAGGGCCTGGAGCCTCCATTGCTGATCTTGGGAGGAGGGAGTCCAGTGACCCTGCCCACATCCATGGCCTCAGTCCTGGTCTCTGCTCTGCTTCCCTCCAGACGCCACAGTGCTGCAGGGCCTTAGGTAACAGCAGCTCCCCACCCAGGGGTATCCATTCCCAGGACATTATCACTCGGCCTGGGTGCTAGACTGGCCAGGCAGTGGAGGGCTGGGCTGTCGGGCACTGCAGCAGCCCTGCTCCTGCCTGCCTCTCGCTGCCTCCTATTTTGGAGCACGCTCCCAGGTCGGAGGGCCCCAGGCTGCAGAGGGAGGCCGTGGCGAGCAGCTGGCACATGGGGGTGGTTTGGGGGCAGGGGGTGCTGCAGCACGGGCACAAGGAGGTCCTAGCTGTGGGGTTGGCCTTGGCCATGGGGCTCTGTGCAAACAGAGCAGGGTCGCGCCCCACGCTCTGCTGTTTGCATGCAGGCGGGAGCACCCGGCCAGTCTCTGCAGGGCAGGTGGGCACGCTGCACATCTCGCTAGGATCCTGCCTCATCTGCCTGCACGAGCCCTGGCAGCGCGTGGGCACTGTCGGGCATCGTCTTCCTCCCTCTCCCAGGCTGCGCACGGGGCAACTGCCACGTGCAGCCTGGCACAGAAGCTGGGCCAAGGGGGGCGGGGGGGCCGGTGTGGCGACATCCCCCCGGGTGTGGCAACCCGGAGCCCGTTGCCAAGGAAGTCTGCCCGCTTGCAGCCTGTTTACAGCAGGGAGCTGGAGTTCCTGTAACGTGCGTCTCCGTGGGAACCTGCCCGGCGGAAACGTTCAAGGAACAAACACAGCCGGGCTGTAAACAAGCGGTGCTGCCTGCCCTCCTGCCCCCGTCACCCGGCAGCAGCCGGGCGCCCCGGGAAACGCTCGCTGCCCGGTCCCCAGGGGCTGGCGTGTCCTGGGAGGTGCCCGACCCCACCTGGCTGGGGCGATTGGGGCGTGGGGTGCTGGGGTGGGGCAGATGCTCGTAGCACCTGTGCTTTGCAGGTGTGGGGAGCAGAGCATCTCACGGCTCGCCCTGACAGCCTCCCAGGCCCAGCGAGAGCCGCAGCCCTGGCCCGGCAGCCCCTGCTTCTGCCCCGGTCCCAGCTGGCGTGTCTCTGCCCGCACTGCCGGCAAGTCCCTGGCAGCTCCTCTCTGCCTCTCCCTCCTGATCCCTCTGGCTTGTAGCTCCCCCATGGCCGCAGCCTGGGCCATGCAGCCTAGGCCAAGGCAGGCCTGCCCCGCTGGTCCGCACCCAGCCCATACACAGGAGTGGGGTGCCAGCAGACGGGCTCTCCCGGCTCCCGGTGGCCTGTCCACAGCCCTGGGCTAGCCGACCTCTGCCCTGGGCTCCGGGGCAGAGGCTGCCTTCAGCCGTGTCTGTGCGGGGCTGCAGCGATGCCACGAGCGAGTCATCGCCAGCATCTGCAGCTGGGCACTGTGCGGTCACACGTGCCCTGCTGCCCAGGGGTTTGCCAGGGCTGCTCCTGCTGACCTGCCGCAGGGCCTGGCCGGGCTGGGCTCGGGGCAGACGGTCATCCCTGCCGTCTTGCTTTCCCTGCAGCTCCGTCTGAGCCACTCACTGGTTCCCTGCATGCCCGCTGGGCATGGCACGTGCTGGGACCAGGGCCGGCCCCATGCAGGGCACCTGGCTCGCAGGGGGAAGGGGGCAGGGGGAGAAGCAGGGCATGGGGGAGGCTCTGGGATGGAGGCACTGTGGGCCTGGGAGAAGCCACTGAATGCTCCAGGGATGGAGGGGGCCGGGACAGGGCTGAGCCCCGTGCTCAGGGGCCGGGGTGAGAGGGGCTGACGATGCCTGGGGCTGCCAGCCCTGCAGAGGGGCAGCGAGAGCAGGTAGGACCCAACCCCGACCCCGACCCCAACCCCGACCCTGACCCTGACCCAGCCCTGCCCTGGCCGCCAGGCCATGACGAAGCGTGAGTGGGAACAGTGAAAGAGGAAGTGGTGCGGGAGCCCGTGGGCTTTTCCAGAGTTACGAGGCTGGGAACAGGCCCGTGGCTGCCAGCCCTGTGCCCTGCT